CATCAGTTTTCCTGCTCGGCCTGCTGTGTTCATCCAGCTCTACACCTGGTTATCTCTAGTACTGAGGGATACTTGGTTGAGGAAGGTGGTGGACATTTCGGAGGATCCTTTATCAAAGCTGGCATCATCAGAGCAAATGTGATGGAAACTGAGGAACTAGGAAAACAGAATAGAGTCTTTACAGGAAGCAGGGTGTGAGGATGTATACTCCAGCTAACTGTGGATATTGGCCAGTCTATCTCTAGAATTGAAACAGAAATGTTGAGGAAAGGAAGAGAGGAGTCAGAGGTGAACCAGGCAAGAGAAGGATGGAAGCTGGAAGTGAAATCGATAAACTTTCCTAATTGCAGACAAGAGAAGGAGGCAGCACCGACAATATCATCGATATACCAGACAAAGATTTGTGGGTGGGGGCCAGAATAAGACTGGAACAAGGAATGTTTCATGCATCCCACGAAGAGACAGGCATAACTGGGGCCCATGCATGTACCCATAGCCACCCTTCTGAACTGAAGAAAATGAGCAGAATTAAAAGAGAAGTTGTTCAGGGTGAGGACGAGCTCAGCCAGGCAGAGGAGGGTGGTGGTGGACAGAAACAGTTCAGGCCTTTGTTCCAGGAATATTCGAGAGCCCCAAGACCATCCTGGTGGGGGATGGACGTGTAAAGGGATTGCACGTCCATGGTAAAGAGGCGGCAGCTGAAGCTCGCAAACTAGAAGTTCTGAAACTGGTGTAAAGCATCAGTTGCATTTCATTCGCAAAAACCTAAGCCTCCAGTTAACAAGGTATAGAGCTGGATGAACACAGCAGGCCAAGCAGCAGAGGAGCAGGAAAGCTGATGTTTCAGGCCTGGACCCTCCTCCCTTTTTCTGAGGAAGGGTCCAGACCCGAAACGTCAGCTTTCCTGTTCCCCTGACGCTGCTTGGCTTGCTGTGTTCGTCCAGCTCTACACCTTGTTACCTCAGATTCTCCAGCATCTGCAGTTCCTACTATCTGTGAACCTCCAGTTGCCTGCCACTTTAACATACCGTGTTCCCTGGCCAGCTGTAGTGCTCCAGCAAAGCTCAGCACAAGCGCATTCACTTCATTTTCTGCCTGGGGACCCTGCAGCCTTCTGGACTCAATATCAAGTGCAATAACTTTAGGACCTGAACTCTCTCATGTCCTCAGCCCCTACCCCCACAACCAGACCTTGTTATCATAGTTGCTATAACAGACCACCCATTGTTAGCCACTAACAGTCCCCATTAACAGCTATTTACCCTCCTAGACAGATCATTATCCACTCCTTTGTCTGCCCAACTGTTCCTCTCCTTCTTTGGGCTCTATTCCCACTTACTGTTTATCCCTTACCCCGTCCACATCCACCCTATTTTCCTAGGTACTATCAATTCCGAGGATGGGTCACTCAACCCTAAATGTTAACTCGGATTCTCTCTGCAGAAGCTGCCAGACTTGCTGAGCTTTTCCAGCAATTTCTATTTTACAGCATCTGCAGTTCTTCTGTTTTTTTATTTAGATACTTATCCTTGTTTATGAATCTTTTCACAACTTCATCCTTGGCAACTATAACCACTTCCCAACTCTCAATACTCTGACCTCAGCCAATTTTGGCCACGTTAGTAACCCAATTCACCACTCAGTCATGCCTTCAGCTGCCTAGGTCCCAGACTCTTCAATGTGACACTAAATCTTGAATTCACTCTCCTCTTTTATGATGTCCCTTAAAACCTACCTTTTTTTTAAAAATTATCAAATCTTGTTCGATAACACTCCTGCAAGTTTGAGCACGTTCAAGATTCTATATAAATGCAAACAATTGTAAAATTGTAAATGTGCGTGCTTTTGCTTCCAAAACACTTCTGAAATATTACAAATCATTACTACACAAACTATTGGGCCATGCCATTCTACACAAGGGAGGAGAATGGCGAAAATCAGGCAGAATATCGTAATACTGGCATGAATCTTGTAATTCCCTTATCAGTGTCAGCTTGTAGTTTGAACAATGGTGAATAATGAACTTAACTCAAGCTATTATTTGTTTGTATTTTCAACTTTAAAGATAGGTTAAATTTGAGCTAAAGTAAAATGCGCAACACCACTTCATTCTCATTGAAAATTCATCCACATCATTCAATATTAGGAATATGTCTAGAATTTTTTAAAAATTTAGTTTCAAAAGAGCTGACTGAGTTTCTTTTGGATTGGTAAACTAAACAGTCATTGAACACTTAGAAATACTTAAGTGTAAGAAAAACACCACAGTGTTTGGATATCCAAAATAAAAACAGAAAATGCTGACAATTCCGTGGAGTGACAGCACTAACACTTCAGGATACTGACACCTGCAAGATCCTTAGCAAATTGTTTTAGTGCATCTTGCATGCACACTGTCACTGTCTTACAATCAAGGGAGTGAATTAAGGTGGCAAATGGGGTACCAATCAAGCAGGTTGTGTCCTGGATGCCTCAATTATTATTCAAGTTACTCTTATCCAGTCAAGTCAGCAGTATTCCATTGCACAAAAGACCTGTACTTTGTTGACAGTGAACTGTTTTTGGGGCATCAGAAGCTCAGTAAGTTGCCACAGATCCCATCTTCTGGCCTGTTCTCCTAGCCACAGTGACAAATGGCTCCTCCAGGTAAGTTTCTGGTTAATTATAACCTCTAGGATGTTGATGGTGGGTCATTCACAATGGCAATACCACTAAATAGATCAAGGGTACACAATTACAATTTTATGGTCACTGCCCGGTACTTGTACTTTGCAGAGGTGCCGACGTTCCGACGTTGGACTGGGGTGGACAAGGTCAACCTGAAGAAAGACTGAGGCTCCGAAAGCTTGTATTTTAAATAAGCCTGTTGGACTAAACCTGCTGCCACGTGATTTCTGACCTGGTACTTTTATGTCATGAATGTAAACTGCCACTTATCCAGAGTCTGAATGTTGTCCAAGTATTCTATATGCAAGAATGGACTGCATTATTTAAAATGCTGTTATAGAGTCATAAAGTCAGAAATATCCAGCACAGAAACAGGCCCCTCAGTTCAATTTGTCCACACCAACCAGATATCCTAAATAAATCAGTTCCATTTGCCAGCATTTAACCCTTATCCCTCCAAACCCTTTCTATCCATGTACCCATCCAGATGCCTTTTAAAACGTCGTAATTGTACCAGCCTCCAAATCCTTCCCCTCTCACCTTAAACCTATGCTCTCCAGTTTTGGACTCCATTACCCTGGGGAAAAGACCTTAGCTATTCACCCTATCCGTGTGCCTCATGATTTTATAAACTTCGATAAAAGGTTACCCCTCAGCCTCCAGTGCTCTGGGTAAAACAATCCAGGCTATTCAGCTTCTCCCTACAGCGCAAATCCTCCAAGCCTAGCAACATCCTCAAATCATTTCTGAGCCCTTTCAAGTTTAATATCCTTCCTACAGGATGGGAGCCAGAATTGAATGCAGTATTCCAATAGTGGCCTAACCAAATGTCCTGCAGAGCCGCAACATGACCTCCCAACTTCTATGCTCAATGCACTGACCAATAAAGGCAAGCATACCAAACACTTTCTTCACTATCCTATCTACCTGCAATGCCAAGGAACTATGAGCCTGCACGCTAAGGTCTCTTTGTTCAGCAACACTCCCCAGGACTTTACCATTAAATATTTAAGTCCTGCTCTGATTTGCCTTTGCCAAATGCAGCAACTCACATTTATCTAAATTAAATTCCATTTGCCACACCTCAGCCCACCTGATCAAGATCCCATGGTACTCTGATGTAACCATTCAATATCTATACAAATCTAAATCATAATACAGGAATCATTAGCAGAAACAGGCACACATTCACAGTGAAGAATGTAGGAGGATGAAGCAAAGGCATTTGTCAAATTGAAGTTACACATCTACAGAAATTGAAATAGATGGAGAATAAACAGAAAACTATTTGGATTTAGCCAAGAGGAGGTTTCACTTGGTGCACACCGCCAGGTGCTATGGTTTCCTCTCACAGTCCAAAGATGATCAGAGTGGTAGACTGGGCAATTTAGCATGGCCATTGTGTCCAGGGATGTGTGGGTTGGGTGGATTAGCCTTAGAAAAATGCCGGGTTACAGGGATAGTGTAGGAGGTGGATCTCGGTAGAAAGTGCTTCGGAGTGTTGGTGTGAACTCTATGAACCAAATGGCCTGCTTCCACACTGTAGTCTGTGATCTACTTAAAGAGCACAGCTTACTCAGTTGAAATGCATAGTCAGAAATCGTTAAGTTTTAATTCCCTTTCTCCAAATCAAAACATCCCACAGTGTTTTTGCAATTTGTTAGTGTTGTAGTGTCAGAAACATGGCAGACAAATGCACACATTGCAAATTCACGAGGTCTCATAAACGAGGTGACAACGATCAGCTAATCTGTTTTCGTGATAAGTTGAGGGGTAAATATTGGACAGGTCACAGAGGCTGCGCCTGCTCCTGTTCAAAGCCACTCACAGGATCGCTTAGGCGGAACTGAAGGATCAGGGACAACACCTCAGTCAGCAATACTCCTTCAATTACTGCAACTGTTACCGAAATTTTGAACGCACAACCATCTGAACTGGAGACCAAGCCAACAAAAACTCTCAATGAGCCACGACAGGTTTCTTAAAACAACCTGACAGACCAGAAAAATTGAAATTAGCCATTGAAACCATTTATCGATTAATACTGATTTCAAGGATCTCCCTATGACTTTTCAGTGACCCGTTCTCTCTATCCCGCCACCCCCCAAGATGACCAAGCAACAGCCAAATGCCTCCCTCCCGGAGTTTGTTTTTTCCTGATCAGCCAGTGCCAGGGGCAGTTCCTTGTTTGGTATTGGCTGGGCTCCACGCAGACACTTGGCAACAGGCCCGATGCTTAGTTAAAGCGAGTGGAAGGCTGCTGAGATTGAGCAGCCAGTAGCTCCGGAACCGCACGGTGGACACGGGCAACGGGATGACAGCGACAGACTCACCCGCACAGTTCCGGGTAAACGAAAACATCGTCCGCCTGCGCATCGTTCCACACGCAACAGGAAACAGCAAGAAGCAGCCATCTCACCGCTCGGAAAAACCCGAACGGCACCATGCGGCCCGACATCTTCACTCGCTAATGGAGACAGGAGAGACAGGCTCCTGCCGGACAATACTAACAAGGCCTCCTTCGGCAACGGATACCCTTGCACCGCCCCCTCGTCACATGACTCAGCCGTTCCAGGTTAGACCCGCCTCCTAGTCACATGATACTGGGTGACGGTGGTGTCCCCATCCTGGTCACATGACACGTAAGGGCCGGGCTTGGTTGATGCTTACCGTCGCGATGGAGTTCCGCATGTGATAGGTGGTACTGACGCCTTGGCTGAACCGTTGAAACTCATGAGCCCGCTTTTCGTTACGTATTGCTGGTGTCTTATGTTTACTGAGGTTTTGAGAATAGTAATTATGGTATATTCGAGTAGGTATGGAGCACTCACATAGAGTTTGATCACATGACATGGGCCGTTGTGGCAGTACAAAAGGCTTTCTCTTTAACCTCGCTGCTTCTTAAGTGAACTCCACCATTTCAAAAGTCCTATTGTTTACCAGTTCAGCCTTCTGATCCTTCTTGGGATTTAAATTGTAACTGAGCTGCAAGTTACCCAGGTTATAAAGCTTAGCAGTGAATGTTTTGATGCAGTAATGGTGTCCCGACATCTGGGCCAGATATTGAAATCCTACATTGCCCCCTAACGTATCCGAACAGGCTAAATAAAATGGCTGCAAGCCTTGAGTTGTTGAAATATATAGGTGTGTGCTATTAATGGAAGTTGCAACCACTTCTGTCATCACTGTTGGAGGTTGAAGAAGGGGTTTAAGGTTTGAATGGGTTCAAGATTATGTATCTGCAGGAGATTTTTATTTTAAGATTATTCATTGTGGATACTTTTGAACATTAGGAGTTAATCATCTAAAAACAATTGTCTATAGATCAATTAATGTCCATTTAGAAAATTCTAGCCGAATAAACAAAAGTCAGCACAAATTTGGTAAAGCCAAAAGCGAAATATTACAGATGAAGAGAATTTGCACTAAAAACAATGTGTTAGATAGGCATGGAAGTACCTATGGAGAGATTTTATTAAAAGCAAATTTGACTAACATGATAAAAACCAAAAGAACTGCGGATGCTGTAAATCAGGAACAAAAACAAAGTTGCTGGAAAAGCTCAGCAGGTCTGGCAGCATCTGTGAAGGAGAAAACAGAGTTAATGTTTCGGGTCTGGTGACCCTTCCTCAGAACTAACATGATTTGTGGTCTTTAAGATAGCATAATTATCTGAGTTTAACAGAGTTGATGTGTATATGGACTTTCAAAAAGGTATTTAGGAAGCACCATATAATAGACTTCTAAGTAAAATGAAGCTTATATGGACAGCAACAGTGTAAATGTGAATTGCCTAACAGATAATAATAATGACCATTCATTGAGCTCACAAATAGGGATACCTAGATAATAAACCAAGAGCTGTGAATGCTGGAAATCTGAAACAAAATCAGAAATTGCTGAAGAAATTCAGCAGCTCTGGCAGCATCTGTGGAGAGAAAGCAGAGTCAGCATTCCTGGTCCAGTGACCCATCATCAGAACTCTGAAGGATCAAATGTTGACTCTAGTGATAGGTTTACCGAAATCTGCTTCACACTCTCCCAATTCTAGAAAGTAGGTTGGAAGTAATGCCTCCTGGCTCTTATGGCCTGGACATCTCCCAAAAAAGCCCCACGTGATCATAGATCAGAATCCCTACAGTGTGGAAGCAGGCTGTTCGGTCCAACAAGTCCACACTGACCCTCAGAGCATCCCACCCAGACCCATCCCCCATAACCCACCTAATCTACACATCCCTGAACACTATGGACAATTTAACAAAGCCAATCCACCTAGCCTGCACATCTTTGGACCGAGGGAGGAAATCGGAGCACCTGGTGGAAACTCATGCAGACAAGGGGAGAATGTGCAAATTCCACACAGATAGTTGCCCGAGGGTGGAAATAAATGCAGGTCCCTGGTGCTGTGAGGCAACAAAGCTAGCCATTGTGCCCCCCCAAATGTTTTTTGCATTGTAAAGTTTTATTCATATCAAATTAGTTTATCTATTAAGCTAAAAGGAGGTATGCATGCAAAGGTGTCAGGACAATATCATTTTGAAAAGCCTGAACCCTGGTACACTATTTAATTATTAAAGCATCAATTCCTACAGTTATTGTTAAATAATATGCTCTTAAATGACATTGATATTAACTGATGAAGATTAGAGATTCGTAGGGTAAGCTGTCTAATCTTCAATGTCATTTAAAATCATTGGTGTTGATTGGCAAGTGCCAACAAATAAAGATCCCAATGAATTTGCCACAGGCTAAGTATTTCCACATTTAAAGTACCAAACGAGAGGAAGCTCTGTCTGTGTCAGAAGAGGCAGGTCAGCTGAAAGTCAGACTGTCCTATACAAAACAAGAATCAGGGCACAGGACAGAGGGCAGCAGAGGACATACTGAGGCCCAGGATCGACATCCCAGCACTTCAGCTTCAGAACAGCAGCAAGCAAGGGGTACCTGGGTTAATAACTGCTGCTTTGGGAGAACACTCTGAGAAAATCATCAATGAAGTCACAAGGGAGTAATGGTTTGTCTGGTTTGTGATTCAAGAAGTTTTTCTTGTAGAAGGGATTAACTGAGAAACAACAATTTCCCTGTGACTCTCCCTGTTCCTTTACTGAGATGAAGAGAAATTTCTTCAAACAAAGAGTGATGAGCCTGTGGAATTTACTATCACAAAAGCAGTGGATGCCAAAACATTGTATGATTTCAAGAAGGAGTTGGATACAGCACGTGTGGCTAATGGGATCAAAGAATATATGAGGAGGTGGAATTAGTACATGGAACTACAGTGTTGTAGCTATTACAGAAGTTTGGTTGAGAGAAGGGCAGTACTGGCAGCTCAATGTTCCAGAGTTTAGATGTTTCAGGCATGATAGGGAGGAATGTTAAAGGGGTGGGAAAGTTGCATTACTGATTAAGGAGAATGTCACGGCTGCACTGAGAGGACGTCTTGGAGGGCTCATCAAGCAGATCATATGGACAGAAATCAGGAATAAGAAAGATGTAATCACTATGATGGTGTGACAATTTAATTTGAGAACTTTAATAACTGTTCATGGATTGAAAGAATCAACAATAACTTTGTCTGGAATAAACTGTTTCCCGGGGTAAAAGGGACAAGGAGAAACTTATAAAGGAATTAAAACCAACATGCTAATTAACCATCTCTGGGAAGAAGAAGTTGAAGCAACATAAACAAGCTGTTTCCTGGACAGATAGGTAACAACTGCTTGATAACCTGCTGCCTTGTGACATGTAGACACTTAAGATTGCCTAAAGAAGGAATGACCTGAGGTAAAGGGGTTAATTGCAGGACAGGCTGTTCCAGACACCGGATGTGACAAGGCACAGGAGAGCACTTCTGATAAGAAGGCAAGTTGCAAACTTGAGGACTCCAGAAGTGTAATCAATGTTGTGGATGAGAAACCAAAGGATCGTCAATAATGTCACACCATAAAACTTGAACGACTCAAAATTGTATAAGAATTTAACTCTAGGATTCTTTAACAGTGGAACATCTAAGAACAACACTGCAAAATGATTGAACTCCAGCCACATCCAGAGACAGATGCTGTTGGTTGGAATCGGAGCTAAATTCCATCGTTAATCAGGTAATAGCTAAGTTGGGTTGTAAGACTTAATTTGCTTTCTTGGGTGTCTTATTTAGGTTTCTGCATGCAGTAAAGTTTAAGTAATTGTTTCAGTATTAAGATTTCTTAATAAATAACTGAATTAAAGGTAGCTTGTGGTCATTTATACACAACAAGAGAGTTCTACTATAAGCATCCCAATAGCCAGGTGAAGATAGAGGAACAGATATGTAGGCAGATTATGGAAAGATGTAAAAGCAACAAAGTTGTATAGACTGGAACTCCCTTAGTGCCAGGGGCTTAGTGGGGGCAGAATTTGTTAAGTGTATCCAGAAGGGTTTTGTGAAACAATTTGAGGGTAGTCCAGGAAGGCTGACGTTTCGGGCCTAGACCCTTCATCAGAAATGGGGGAGGGGAGGGGAAGGGGGTTCTGAAATAAATAGGGAGAGAGGGGGAGGCGGATAGATGATGGATAGAGGAGAAGATAGGTGGAGAGGAAACAGATAGGTCAAAGAGGTGGGGATGGAGCCAGTAAAGGTGAGTGTAGGTGGGGAGGTAGGGAGGAGATAGGTCAGTCCAGGGAGGACGGACAGGTCAAGGGGGCAGGATGAGGTTAGTAGGTAGGAGATGGGGGTGCGGCTTGAGGTGGGAGGAGGGGATAGGTGGGAGGAAGGCATATTCCGCTTGGGAACCCTGCAGCCCAATGGTATCAATGTGGATTTCACAAGCTTCAAAATCTCCCCTCCCCTACCGCATCCCAAAACCAGCCCAGCTCGTCCCCGCCTCCCTGACCTGTTCTTCCTCCCACCTATCCTCTCCTCCCACCTCAAGCCGCACCCCGATCTCCTACCTACTAACCTCATCCCACCCCTTTGACCTGTCCGTCCTCCCTGGACTGACCTATCTCCTCCCTACCTCCCCACCTACACTCACCTTTACTGGCTCCATCCCCGCCTCTTTGACCTGTCTGTTTCCTCTCCACCTATCTTCTCCTCTAACCATCTTCTATCCGCCTCCCCCTCGCTCCCTATTTATTTCAGAACCCCCTTTCCCTCCCCCATTTTCTGATGAAGGGTCTAGGCCCGAAACATCAGCCTTCCTGCTCCTATGATGCTGCTTGGCCTGCTGTGTTCATCCAGCTCTACACCTTGTTATCTCAGATTCTCCAGCATCTGCAGTACCTACTATCTCTGAGGCTAGTCCAAAAGGGAAGAGGCCATACTACCTTGTATTGGGGAATGAGCCAGACCAGGCAATCAAAGTTTAAGTGGGGGAGCTTTTTTGGAACAGTGATCATAGTTCTAACATAGTTATGGAACAGGATAAGCCCGGTCCTCGGTTGTAAGTATAAATTGTGGAAGAAACTAATTACAACAGTGTTAGCAGGAACTGGAGAAATTAGATTGGGGTTGGCTGTTTGAAGGTAAATCAAGATCTAACATGGGAGTCTTTTAAAGGCCAGCTGGTTAGAGTCCAGGACTAGCATGTGTTGATGAAAGATAAGGATCTCAAGTTTGGGGAA